AAACTATCTGAAGACGTGCTGAAATCAGTCTACACTGAGGGAATGTACTATGTTTGAATTGGATATTAGGGGTGTATTTCATTTCTGATTGAAATAAATGACACTTGGCTTTAGAAATTCTTTCTAGCTCAAGGGGATTTCTGCTGCTGTAAATCCATACAGAAAAGACAGCAGGTGCAATAATTCTGAACTGCAAATTGCACAACTGAAGCTGAAACTAAGCTGAAAGCCTTTTTGAGTTCAGCAGGTTGGTACTTGAGTGAGAATGTGTGGTTTTGGTTGCAGGAGTGACAGCTATATTAGAAAAACATTTATGGTCCTGACATAGGTATGATTCCCACTAAAATAAATTGTGTAAGTTCATCTGTTCTTTTAAGAGTCCTCTCCAGGTCTTCAGTTGCTTTGTAGAGACTTTTCTTCCTAAGTCCAATTCAAAAACCCTCTTCGGTTTCAGAGCAGCCAATTCCCATTTGATTTACACCTGCCTGAATCCGTCACAGATCCGTGTAGACCCACATGGTATAAATAAAATGTCACTGTAAAGGACTGTGCTGTGTCGGGGTTTGTAGAAGTCGTGGCTTCCATTGCCCAAGGGCTGACACATTTACTGGTGCGCTTATCTTTATACATGGGCATAACCATTAATTACCTCTGTCCTCTTCTCCACAGGCCACCTTCCAGCCTCTTCCCTCTCATTCCTTCTCCCTCAGGCAAAGTGCCTCCTCTGTCTAGCAACCTCTGGAGACTTTTTTTTTTAATGGCAACAGAATGGTCCAGGTCACGTCTATCTACTGACAAAAGGATAATCAGTGCTGCTGGCAAAAATCATGTTCTTGCATCTATTCATTTCGGTATGAAATGCCTGAAATGTGTTCAAAATGCCCTTTGCTGCTAAGTCATTAAGTCATCTGTAAAGGACAAGGATTAAATAAGGTACCATCAGCTCGACTCGGGAGGGGAAAAAAGACTGCGCGGGCGATCTTGGACTATTTTCAGCAGAGGTTTTGTGCTAGCGTGGGGTGGCTCTGAGGCTCACAAAGGAAATTTCGGCACCAGCGAAGCGTGAAGCCCTCAGCGGGCGGAGGGCGAGCTGCGGTGGGCAGCAGGCGTTCGTCCTGAGAGCCCGCGGGCAGCGCAGCTCCGGCCCGACCCACACCTCACCCCCAGCACGGGCTGGCAGGAAGAGCCGGCTGCTTCGCTGAGCTTGGATAAACATTAGGATCTAATTTATCATGTGACAGGAAAGGAAACCTTCCTCACCCCCCGTTTTTAACAGCCTTTGTTTGAATTTCAGTGTGTGGTTTTTGAGGTGTAAAGAGTGGAGAGAGATTTAACCTGGGTCTCTGGACTGATTACTTTGCTGTCAGCTGATGTATGTGGGGCTCTTTCCAGACACATCCACAAGTGTTACATCTCACTAAATGACATGGACAGGGAGCCAGACCTCTTGCTGAACTTACAAAAGAGACATCACACTCATTTAATTAAAAAGATCTGAGCTGCTGGTGCTCTTCATGTCGGATGGTATATCCTGGGTTACATGCCCGGGAGAAAAAGAAACTGTTTTCCTTGTACTACAAAGTAAATAGGACTGAGAAATATTTTGGTATTTGCAGAGCCTGGGATTTCTGACTTTACCATTCCACCTGCATTTCGTGCAGCACGGAGCATGTTGCAAAGACCTGGTTATTCACTTTTTTTCTCTAGAATTTCAAGTCCTGGCCTTCCCCACTGATCTGGTAGGAGCTTTGGTGGACCGCACAGGGGAGTAGCATCAGCTTTAAAGTCAGGCCTTTCAAATATTTTTGGGGCACCTAAGAAACTCTGCCGTATCCACAGTCTGGGCTCTGCGTGGCATTCACAGTGTGGTGCCTAAGGAAGGTATTTGCAGTATGCCACATGGGAGGCATATTCCTTAGCTAGGATATTCTGGATGTAGGTTCCCTCCTGGACTAAGCCATCCTTTTGGGCATGAATAAATACCTGGCTCTTTACAGTGCCTCCTTCTCACGTAGCAGACATTTATATGAATGAATAACTCTGTTCCCACCTGAGGCTGAAACCCATTTCTCAAGAAAGTGCCTAACCACTGGCATTCCCACCCTCCTCTGAAATTTGTGTACAGAGTGATTCGAAGGTGACAGAGGTAAAGGTGACAACTCCTTGAGGCTGAGGAGGGTCTGCAGCTAAAACCTCCTGCCTCTTGGATGGGAAATCCAAACACGGAGATGAGCAAGCTGAATGCGAGTGTCTGTGCCTTGTCAACAAACTGGGTGAAGTGAAAATTAATACACAGAGTTCATCCATTTTTAGTCTCAATTCAGGATTGTGTGCTAGGGTCCTCATAATGAAGCAGGATTATAGCATGGTAGAAATCTTAATTTTTTTAACTATTTAAGGACAAAAAAAAACTTAGTTGCAAAAGAAAAACACATGTTCCAAGGCATCCCAGGCTGAGAGAAAATGTTTTTCAATGTTTTAGGATCTACATGTATAGTGAGGCTCATTAATTTATTCCACATGACCTGGCTCTGAGATCAGTTAATCTGACTGGATATATTGCAGTGTCCAGTTTGAGAGAGATTATCAACTCTGTGCCCATTACAGTCTTTAACCTTTTGCCCTTTCATCCACAAAGTCTCCACTTGACTCACGTGTTAAACACAAATCAAATCAGTCTTTCTACTAACATTAATTTTAATTTTTTATGTGTGATGAACTGAAGTGGAATGGTGTTTGTTCACACAGCCATGAACTCCACTTTATTTTCCAGCCTTGTTTTGGTATTGCTGGAGCGGGTTATTTTGAAGATGCTGCCCTGGCAGCTGCTTAGCCTGAAGTCTTCTTCATCCACTGAAAATCTGGATCAAAGCTTATAAATAAAAGCATTTACCTATGTACAGGTTAATTCATAACAGCTCATTTTGGAATCTTTTTGCTACTCTTCCTACATTGAAAAGTTAGACCTCAGTTATTCAGACATTCAGCATTAAATCTGTGCTGATCTGTATTTGGCAGAACTCATGAATGTACCTCATCATATTTGACTTTTTCCTCAAAGTTCCAGTTCCCAGAGTCATAGGATTACATTAGAAACTTCAGGAGGGAAAACAAAAAAGTAACCTAGACCTCACGGCTGTACAGGGAAAACTTAAAAAATGAGTCTTGAATTCACTTTAAAGGCTCCAAAGATACCAAAGGGAAAGAGCACAATGTCGTAAACTTGTAAAGAATTTCATATGTGGAAAAGGAAGATTGACTCATTAGTGATCCTTTCTAACCAGTGCTAGGTGTTGAGACCTTGTGTTTACAAATTAATCCACATAATCCAGCCACAAATCTGCAAAACCTTCTGTGCAGGGATTGCCACTTTTTGGCATGACTTGCCTCTGTCTGCCTAACTGGCCCTTGATGCCTTTTAGAGCTTTCCACTGTAAAAGCAACAATAAGGTCCAAAATGCAGATACTTTATTCAGGGTGCTCGCACAAATGTGAAGAGAGGAAAGAGAGTTTTCTAAGCTTTGCCTGGCAGGTTTCAACTTTCAACTCATGGGCACGGTGAAGGCTCCAGGAAGAGAGAAAAAGCTAGAGAAATGCAAGTGGAAAAATATTTCTATGGTGTTTTGGAAAAATAATAGTCAACGTAGCCAAACCCAGTTTCCTGTGGAGAGCAAGCCATGTAGAGAAGTTGCCTCTTGCTGTGCTGGGGACCTGGCAGCTCCACAGAATCACAGAATGGATTAGCTTGGAAAAGACCTCTGGGGTCATTGAGTCCAGCCGATGACCAAACACCATGGTGTCAACCAGGACAGGGCAGTGAGTGCCACATCCAGTCTTTCCTTAGACACATCCAGGGATGGTGACTCCAGCACCTGCCTGGGAGCTCATTCCAACTCTGGTCACCCTTTCTGGGAAGAAATTCTTCCTAATGTCCATCCTAAACATCCCCTGGAAGCTCGAGACTAAGTAACTTGTAACTTGTAACTCCTAAGTAACCAGAATCACAGAATGGATTAGCTTGGAAAAGACCTCTGGGGTCATTGAGTCCAGCCGATGACCAAACACCATGGTGTCAACCAGGACAGGGCAGTGAGTGCCACATCCAGTCTTTCCTTAGACACATCCAGGGATGGTGACTCCAGCACCTGCCTGGGAGCTCATTCCAACTCTGGTCACCCTTTCTGGGAAGAAATTCTTCCTAATGTCCATCCTAAACATCCCCTGGAAGCTCGAGACTAAGTCCTCTTGTCCTGTAACTTGTCTGGGAAAAGAGACCAACTTGGCCACAACCTCCTCTCAGGGAGCTGTGGAGCGATAATGTCCCCCGCTTTTGTCCAGGCTGAGCCCCTCCAGCTCCCTCAGCCTCTCCTGGTGCTTCACATCCTTCCCCAGCTCCATTCCCTCCTCTGGACTCGCTCCAGCGATCTCGCCCCGCGCCCGGCCGGGCCCTGTCCCCACACGCAGGCCCCGGCACGGGCTGCGACTGCGGGGCCACTCCAGCCCTGCCCTGGGAACACCCAGTCCTCAGCCAGCACGCCTCCCGCCCCGGGGCTCCGCTGCGGCTTTCCCGTCCTTTCCCCCGGAGCGGGCAGCGTGGGCGGCGGCGGTATCGCTCACAGGGCAAGCAGCGCCGAGCGGGTCTCGAACTCGGGTCCCCGGCGGCGGGGAGCGGGGCAGGAGTGGCCGCGCCGCCCCGCGCGGTGCATTGTGGGCGCCGCACTGATTTATGCGGGGCCGCGGAGCGCGCCGGGAGCGGCGGGAGGAGGCGGCGGCGGCGAGCGGGGCCGGGAGCGGCGGGACCGCGGCGGCGATCGCGGCTCTCCGGGCGCGCAGCGCTTCTGCCGCCCCCTGAGGCCGTGGCGGCACCGCCGGGCGGCCGGCACCACCCACCCGGCCGCAGCCGACCCCGCGCCGGCCACCACGGACGTGGAGGAGGCGGCGGCGGCGGGCGGAGCCGGGCCCGGGCCGAGGGGACCGTCCCGGCGTGGNGGGGGGGCGGCCCCCCCGCCGCTCGGTAGGGGCCGGAGCGAGGGCGGGCTCAGCGGGGCCTCCGCGGCCGAGCTCGCTCCGCAGCGGCTGCGCCGGGCCCGGGCCGGCCGCGCTGCCGGCGCCGCTGGGGCCTCGGCGGGGAGCGAGCGAAGCGAGGAGGGAGGCCCGGCCCGGTGCTCCCCGAGACGGAGCGGGGGAGCGGGAGAGCCCCGCGTCCTCCGCCCGCTTTGTTAGCCGGGCCCTCCGCAGGGAAGGGGACCGGGCCGGTGCCCCCGGAGCTGCCGAGCCCTTTCTTTGCCCGCTCTCCGTTGCGGAGCATCGTCTGCGGGACTAGTGCAGAGGAAACAACAGGTCTCGCTCCCTGCTCGCCTGCCAAAGCGACGCCAGCGCCTTGCTCTTGGGATTATAAATGTTTGAACTAAGACGCAGGGAACGGGAAGGAGAGCTTCCCGTTGGAATTAATATAAGAGAAAAGAAGGGAGGCTTTTCCAAATCCTCTACAAGAAAGCTCATGCTGTTTTCCCCTGCTGTCCGTACTCTGTTTAATAATGCGATTGTGACCTGAGTGGAATTTGTGAGCGATGAAGTGTTGAAGCTTGTTGCATCTCTGCATCGGACTACATTTGTTTTTTTTTAATTTTTTTTTTTTTTTTTTTTGGTCAGCACATGATTCCTCTATCCCAGCTGTTGCAGGACCTATGGGCCAGTAATAGAGGGATGGGAAGCTGAGACAGTTTATTTTCACATTCTTCTGTGCCGGGGACTTCACGAGATAGCTGAAGCTGCTGCTTTTTACTGGATCTGCTCTTTCCTCGGCAGGTTTTTTATTATTTTTTTCATGTGTTTTGATTAAACAGTCTTTGGACTGGAGCTGGATGGGTGCTTTGCAATCCAAAGGGTTTTGGGGGTTAACAGAAAACTGCTAAAACAGAGAAGAACTGGTGCTGCAGGAAACCTGGGGCCTGTTTTCCAAGCCTTTTCGTTTTATTGAGCAAGGTAAACAACGTAGTGGTGAAAATTCAGGGCTTATCGTAATCATGCATGAAAATGTTACAAAGCACTTCAGATTGTTCCAAGTCTTTCAAAGCATGGAGAGGACTCACAGTAAGACTAAGAATGAATTGCCCTTTTGAAATTTCCAGGTGTGAGTGTGACATTTAAGGCCGAGAACAAAGTTTGTGGTACACGAGTGGTTTGGGGGGCTATTTTTCCTGCTTTTGCCTTACATTCTGTAGGTTTGTGCTTTGGAGAGAGGTTGCCTGAAGAACTTTCTTGTTGGTTCAGTGATTATATGAGTAGTTTTTTCCCATGGTTTTTAAAACCTTAATGCCTTAGCTCTGGCAGGGATCTGTTAGGGTCTCTCAAAGGTGCTCCCAGTTTAGTATGCTCACTTCCAGTAGTGCACTGCTCCTATTTGCCTTGCTAACTATATTCATCCTCTGCTTTTAATTATTTTTGCTTACCTTTACTTTTGCTGTCCACATTGACAGCTGCTACTACTTCATAATGAATCCATTGCTTTTTATCTTCCTTTACATGTTTTTATCTCCCGAATTGGACTGTTTGGATTTACCACTCATTTACCATACATCACTTTCACCATCATAAAACTTCTACAGCCAACACAAGCGCAAAGTACTGGTGTAGATACGATCTTTGTACGTTTGAAGCAGTGGAAGAAGCATATAATGTTTCCCAAAATGTGTAGTGTAATCATTTGCTGGGTGAAGTGTATAATTTTTGGTGTCAGGCTGCATGCCTTATCTTTGGATTTTTTAAAAAGATCTCGGCAGCAGTTTACTCCTCACAAAAACATAAATCCATTAAAATGAAGTCACAGTTTGAGACGTAGCTGCAAAAATCTGGTTTTGCAAGAAGTCACAAGATTCTCATTATGAAGCAAAGCCTTGATTAAGTTGACTGTGTACCTTTTCTCCTCTCTTAATGAAATAGTGGCAAACACCAAGGTGCTGGCAGCCTTTGCTGATGCTATCGTGGGGAGAGCTAAGTGGGTATTACGGGCAGCACTCAAAGTTCCTGTTTAGATTTGTTTGACCGAGATTTCTGGCCTTTGTTGTGTCTCGTTTTGTTTCAAGATGATGTGTGAGGTGATGCCAACCATCAGTGAGGCCGAGATTCCCGCCGGGGGAAATGGAGGCCACGGTTCAGGTTCCCCGTTGCAGTCAGATGCTGATTCCCACTTTGAGCAGTTAATGGTGTCCATGCTGGAAGAGAGGGATCGCCTGCTGGAAACGCTCCGAGAAACTCAGGAGACGCTCGCCCTCACCCAGGGCAAGCTGCATGAGGTTGGCCATGAGAGGGATTCCTTGCAGAGGCAGCTCAATACTGCACTTCCACAGGTATGAACGTTTGGGAAGGGAAGGGCTTTTTCAATGACTTTTGTATTCTTTGTGGTGTGTTGTTGGCTTTTTGTGTGTTTGATTCACTGAAGAGTCGAGTTGTCTTAGGGAAAGGTGGATCTATCCTGAAGGGTCTTATGGTCCTTGCTCATTTTGAGAAAGATGCAAAAGCAGGGAAGAGCAGCCCTTTCCCTCCAGTCTGCTTTCCCAGTTTCTGGAATTTCCTTGGCTTAGCATAAATGTGGAATGGTATCTACATCCTTTTGTTTAATAGAACTTGATGGACTTTTTTTCTGCAACTAGTACTTTTTTAATGCTCTCTCAGTTGCCTGATTCATTAATGTACTTAAGAATTAATACCTGGTCTAGTGGGGGGTGTCCCTGCCCATAGCAGGGATTTGGAACTGCATGGTCTTTAAGGTTCCTCCCAACCCAAACCATTCTGGGATTCTGTGAATTCCATACAGACCATTCTGACTCGATTAAAGACTTTGATTTAAAACCTTGAAGACTGCTATCTTGTAAATGCATGCTGAGTTGTCATGGCAATATAGAAGTCTGAATGTGTTGTTTAACCTGTTTAGTTACTTTTGAAAAGTTTGGATTTGGTTTTTTGAGGGGTTTTTTTTTGGTCCTGCTAGGAATTCCTAATTAGTGCCTTGTGGAGAATGCACGTGGCCCGCAGTGCTAGGTTTGTTACGTAAGGAGCATAGTTAGGAAAGGTGATTGGTGTCTGCAGAAATCTTTGAGTTTTATCCATTCGAGTTAAAAATAATACAAGTGGACTTTGAACATGTTGAGAAGCATTTGGTTGTAGGCAAAGCAGGGTCTGCTTTTAGGTGTTGGTTAACTGTTGACAGCCTTGTGCTTTCTGGCGTGGTGGTTGTTGTCCCAAGTATGGCACAATGATGTTGTGACTTACTGTTTATACCCTTTCAAACAGTGGTGTTAAATCCTTCTGTTTCACTGCTCTCATTATAATGTAATCACTGTATGACTCTTGGTATGGTAATTGGTGCTGGTAATTACTGAGGGATGGAAATGAAAATGTTACATGTGTTAATCTAGTTCTGTTACAATGGTGAAAATCAGAAAGGAGAAGTTTCCAACCTCTGCTACTCATGTTTCCAACCTTTGCCCATGTTAAATCATGTGCTGCAGGCAAACATCATTCTTTGGTTTTTGTTGTAATAATTTGTAGCTTCTCCTCATCCTCTGTGTCAGGTCTGCTACATTAATGGAGGCCATTAACCACTTGCATGACCTGCAGACTGTTAGACCTGAGTTTGTGGCTGAGCAGAATCATCTCAGCCCTCAACTCTGCTGTTCTCCTTTTGCCTTTTCAGTTCTCAGCTTTCCTTCCTAAATCAAGTAGGCTACTTGCATGTAACCATCACTTTCTAAACATTTCTGGAAAATTAATAAACAGTTCCCCTTTTCAAGAATGCCATATTTGCATGGTTTCATGTGAAATCTCTTGGAAAAGCAAGTTAGTTAAAGGAGAAATTTTACTGCAATTTTATGTAAACATACAGCAGTGTGTGGATTTTTGTAGATTGCTGTTGGAAAATACTCTTTTCATCCTGTGGAACTGCTGCTTTTGCCCCCAGTGAATTCATTTACATATGCTTAGCTCAAATGATTGTGGTATTTTAAAAAATCAGAAATATTTTTATTATTGTTGCTACATCGGAAATAACTTCTGTATTGGGCAGGTTTTGTTGTTGTTAAGGTATAGTCAGTTACTTCATGGGTGCAAATCTTTGATGAGGGGAAACAATTTAAAAAAAAATCCTAATATGTGTTCACTGTCAAAACTTTGTAGTAACTAATACTTGAAGCTATTCAAACTTTTTTGTTAATTATTTTAAGCTGAGCATTCTTTTGAACTAGTGCCTCAAATGACCTTTTGTTTAGCTGTGGATTTCAAGGAGGATAAAGTCTTTAAATTTAATAAAATAACAGCTATTTTTTTTTAAGCAAAGAATGCATAGTAGTGTAGATTTTTTTTTTTTTCATAGTAGTTGTTTTCAGTTTAGTAGATCTGCAAGGTCAATTTAACTAATTGTACAAAGACCTGTGTAATTTCATTAATTGCTAAATCACTCTGTAACCAAAGCATTACTTCTTTCTCAGATTTGGCTTGTAACAAGTCTTTGTAGCTGATTTTAGACTACTTTATCTTAACAGGTTTTGAATTGTTTCTATGTGTACTTTTCCTGTTTTAGATCTTTAGCTGAACCAGCCAGTTTTAGACTGTTCTGATGACTGATGGGAAGTCCTGATGGTCTAAAAGCAGGAATGCCAGATTGATTTTTTTCTATACCAAAATGCCTCTTCTGATTTTGCTATGAAGGCAGTCAATTTCTGGTGGCATCCTGGTGCTTAATTCCTTACATTCTCTTGAGTTTTCTGTATATAAGAAAGAAGCTCACACTGGTATATAAAATATACCATATATATATTTCAAAAGTAACTAACAGTGTATAGGATCAATTTCAAAATGGCAGTATTTTTAAAATCAGTATTTGCACCTCTGTGATTCTAAAAGTAAATGCAGTTTTTCCTGCAGCAGTGATGCACATTTCGTGGTCACATTTCTTAGTGTGGTGGGCAGCTGGGAATTCAAGGCATCAGTTCTAGCTCCATAAACCTGGGACAGTTATTTGGGGTAAGGCAGCTTTTGTGGATGTCTAATTCACTGAGAGGAGTGCATTTTAACCTTATATACATGTGCTTTATCTGTTACATTTACTTAAAGTAAATACTTAAGTAATTTACTTAATGCTGACTTTTTCTGGGTTTTTAGTGTGGACAGCTGGAAGTGAAATACATCACCACTGCCTTGATAAATAACTGGATTCTTGGCAATGCTCTTTGTTTTCTGGGAGTTTCCTCTATTACAGATTACCCTAGTCAAACTGTACTCTGACCTTGGAAAATGAACTTGAGGAAATCGAAGTGCTGTGCTAGAACTTAATTTTATGCTTTCTAGAATTTTTCACAGAAAAAAAGAACATTAACTTTTTACTTGAAGAGCTTTATAACATAACACTGTTATACTTCTAATGATGGTCTTAATGGATTTGATTATGCCTTTTATGTGCCTTTTACAATGCATTCTACAGAATTCAAGATTTGTGTGCTTCAAATTTATAAGGTAATCTGTAAAACTGTATTTAAAGGTTACATTTTGAACCCAAGGTAGATGAGGTCAAGTTACTTCACTGCTTGCTATTAAAATGTTGCAGGCCAGTGTTCATTTTGCTGATAGAATTTCACATAGATGTTTTCTAAAACATGATTCTTGTTTTGGATGGTGAAGACCAGAGTTTAATCTCCAGTGACTCTGGTGCTTATCACAAACAAAAGCACAGTCAGTGAATTCACAGCAGTTGTTATCAGGATGAAAATTTTAATATGTATGTTAATTTTATAAGCTAATAAATACAATACAAATATGAAGCAACACATATTAAGATCCATCTTAATCTTGCACCTCTGATCTTCTGGCTGTAAATTTATCATGCCTCATTTTTTTCTCTACAAGGTAAGCAAAATAATAGGTTAAAGTAAAAGTTGCTTTCCACCCATAGTAAATATTTTATCACTACCTCATACTTCAGTTAAAAATGGTGTGTGCAAGTTCATGTTTTTATTCAGTGAAGGTCAGGTACGTCCCTATACAGTGATGTTCCTTACACAATCTCAGAAATACTCAATGCCTCACATGTAAGAAATATCAAAACACTTGGCCTAAAGATTGCCCTGGCATTGTTTGGAAGTGATGGACTTCAGTATTTCATTGCCATTTTATGAATAGTGATATTTGGATTTCCTCCAGACAAGTTTTGAGTAATACAGGGTGTCATAGATGTAGAAATGAGGTTTTGAATCGTGCCTAATATGAAGAACACCGTGGTAGAACACACAAAGACCCGGCCAGACTCTGCAGCAGCTGAAATTTCCTCAGCACTTATGTGCAGCTCCATTTGCAGCATTCCCAGATATTCAGCCTGAGGTGCCATGGCTTGCACTTCTTACTCTGGCAGCAGCTGGTGCTGACTTCTGAATAGCAGCCATTAATCTCAAGAGAGTGCCCAGGAATCCTGGAGGTGCCAAAGGGTTTCACATGGATGTCAGAACAGGCACATCCTCCACTGTTCTGATAGCAGAGATGAACAGGACTCTTCCTGTTGCATTTTCAGACATCTGTGTTGAGTTTCAGTTGCTAAATCATACTTGGCTCTTACTCTTAGTGAATGACTGAACTGATTTGGCTTTACACTAGTTTAAGTCAGATGGAGATAGGAATTAACATTCAGAATTCTTCACTGATTATCAACAAACTTCAGCTTCCCTAGCATTTCTTTGTTTTCAAGACATAGAAACAGATACCTTTTGCTCCAAACCTTCAAAGTATGAATTTGTCTGAAATAATGCCCTGTGTTTGGGCAAAAAGGACTAACTACACTTAAATAATGCAGAGGAGTATATTGAGCACTGAGTCTCCACTGGTTCTGTCTTCTTGGTTTCTCATGTGGATATGTTTGGGTTTGTTTATTGAAGCATCCCACCCCTGCCCAGCAGACATCTGTTTGCCTATTGTTAGCAACTTGCTGTTTATACTGTGCTTTAATTTAGGTTTGCTTTATTATAAATAGACCATTTAGCTGGATTAAATTTGGAATTCATTTTAAGTTTCCTTGTATCTGAGGGTGAATTTTACTGCTGTTAAATTTGGGGTGAAATTTACTGCAGAGTCATGTCCCATCCCTCCTTTTAACAAGCAGATTTGGTGAAGTCTGAAACTATTGTTTTTATTTTCCTTAGTTTATTTGTAGAAACAATGTTTTGGTGACTGCACAGAAATGCTTTTTGTTTGTTGTGGTAGTGGACGAGGCCCTGAAACAGGAGCTAGTGTTTTTGCCCTACTCTTGTGCTACTGTGGACAGATGTCTGTCAGTGGGTTTATTAATGCTTGGGGTGCTCCAGTCTAA